CAGTGGATATGACATATTTGAGGAGGTGTGTGTCGAGGAAATAGACATGATTTTTGTGATTTTTTAGGTAAATTTAAATTTATAATAAAGTTATATATATGATTAAAGAATTTCCCTTTTATGTTTATCAATCTTGCATAATTTGTATGTTATGTTTCCAATTGTGCAAATTTTATGTTTCATAATTCTATAGAGACACAGGCTTGGATGTGAAAAGTGGAGGGTTGCGTTAATTAGTCGATAGTTAGCGTAAAACTTGTCGAAAAAATCATGACATTAATTTTTTTTATCATTATGTATGTGCTAGGACGTCCATTGGAAACGACGCACTGTATAGCCTGAATATAGTGAAAAGTATGCAAGAGCCTATACACCGGCGCCCAGGTGTAGTGTCAAATAAGCAAGGGTTCCCACATTACGGACGAATGCGGGTAAATAAGTTGGTTCATGAAACTAATGAAACTAATATTAGGATAGAGATCTTGAAATATAGGTACTCTCAATGATAAATTAATAGAATTAGTTGATATTATGATTCATAGAAAGAATAATATCTTATGTATTCAAGAAACTAAAACCAAGTTAGGCATTTCACATAGAATTGGATAGATATCCATTCTAAATGAACCATGGATTAATATATTGTGAAAATATGGTGTACCCTAGTTCCAAGTCAACACCCAGGGTCGACCCTAAAGCCAAGTAATCCTATAGGGACTCTTCTTGAATTCTCTTATAATGATCTTACCTACTAAATGCTAGAAGTTAAGATCATTATGTGGAATTTCAAGTTGAGTAAAAAGAAAAGTTTTGAATTTCTAATGGTGGGGGTACCTTTTCTAATTTTCTAAGACTAGTCAATAGGAAAGTCCTATGGCTAGACCTAGGCTACTAAAGAAGTTTCTAGACCTCAACCAAAAGTGAGGTCAACAATGTTTTTTTAATTTAAATCAAAATATTTTTAGCTTCACAATGCCTCAAGTTTTGTGTGACACTTCGGAGTTCGTATCAAATGATAAATTTATTGATGATGCATCAGTTGTCTCCCAATTTTCCAACAATTTTGCTAGTATGATCTGAAAATCATTAAGAATCGTATAGCGAGGCCACGATCCCATGCACACAAAAATAAACAAATTGCATTAAAATGCATGGATCACTTGTGACAACTGCTCGTTTGTGTAAAATCCAACATCTTATGTGGGGTTCCTTGAGCAAACTCAAAGTTGGCAGTTTTTGGCGGTTTTGGGTCATTTTGGAGCTATTTTGAGCCGATAAATAAGTCAGAAAGGAGGGAAGAAGGCACACTTCTCCCGTAAAGTGTTTGGAGTCCCTTGTCTTACTATTATGTCTTCTTTTGCTCTAGTTTTGCTCAACCCCTGAAATTCTTTTAGCCAATTGTTGTGTCTCCTTTTGCACTAGCTTGTCACAACCCCTAGAGTTTCTTCAACCTACAATTTTGCCTCATTTCGTGACAGTGTAATGTAACCTCTAGAGTCCTTTTGGCCAGTTGTTGACCTGTTTTGGGTTGCGTCACCAGAGATGGACAAGAAAACCCCTTACTTGAGATGCATGACCTATCTTAGTTGTTAATCAGAGCATCCGCTCACCAACCGTCGCCTTTAATGAAAGAGGCCAAAAGAAATCCACCAAAGATATAACACATGTCATAAGTTGTTTAGTTGGTGATGCTCAACGACATTAAGCTATTATGAACAAAGAAAATTGAAATCCACAAAGGATGTAAGACCTATCCTAGGCAATATAGACAAAAATGTTCAACGACGTTATCCTATTATGGATAAAGTCAAATAAAATTCACCAAGTATGTGAGACCGGCTTATGTTGTATAATGGAATATGCTCAACAGTGTCAAACCGTTATGGACAAAGTTGAATGAAATTCACCACGGTTGGAATACCCGTCCTAGGTTGTTTTGCCAGAGATATCTTACAACATTAACATATTATGGATAGAGATGAATGAAATCCACCAAGTATGTAATATTTGTCTTATGTTATATAGCCATAGATGATCGATGAAGTTAAGATACTATTGATAAAGTAGAATGAAATCCATCAAGGATGTAAGATCCATCTAGGTTGCATAGTCGGGGATATTTGATAGAGTTAACCTGTTACGGACAATGTCAGACGAAATCAACCAATGATTTGAGACCCATCCTATATTGTATAATAGAAGATGCTCGACAATGTTAACCTAGTATGAACAAAGTCAAATCAAATCCACTAAGAAAGTTCGACCCGTTCTAGGTTATATAGTCAAAGATGCTTAACAACATTAACCTGTCATGGACAAAGTTTAATGAAATTTGCCAAGAATGATAGACTCATCTTAGGTTATATAGTCGAAGATGCTCGGAGACGTTAACCTATTAAGGATAAACTTGATTGAAATCCACTAAAGATGTAAGGCCAGTTCAAGATTACATAGTCGGAGATGCCCGACGACATTAACCTGTTATGGACAAAGTTGAATGAAATCCACCAAGAATGTTTAACCTATCATAAGCTATTAAATGAAACTTCTGCTTGACGACCGTAGTATATTCTAGAAGATGTCAAATCGAGTCCACCTAAGACCAATTAAGCCCAAAATGAGGTGTCTGAGAAGCTCTATATTTCTTGAGTCTAGGGTGGCCCCACCCCTCATTGAAGAATGTCTTCAAAATTATATTTTGGTAACTTTCAATTTGATGAATTGGAGAAGGGTGTGATGAGTTTTTTGCAATCCTTCGATTTGCAAAAAAAAATTACTTTCCAAATAACTTAACCAGCTTATAATAGGTATGAGGATTCTCCTGGGAGTGTATCGAAATAAATATACATTTGGATTTTAAGAGTAGTAGAGAAATCTAGAGAAATGAACAAATCAGAAGCTCGTTATACATGCATGATGGTTCAGATCTTTGAAGCGACATTATTCGTTATCATATATTGAGGGTATGTTGTTACACCATATTTGAGGTAAATCATTACACAATTTTGGGGTTGCATCATTACATCATATTCCATGTGTCTCATTATATTGCATTGTTGCACTACATTCGGGGTGCTTCAATACTCTGTCATGTGCATCATTACACCGTATTTGGGGTGTTTCACTCTATCATAAGGTTCACTGATGAAGGCGAGCAGGGAGAGGCCTGTGTCGTTCAACGACAACCGACGAATGATGATTGACAGTTGTTGGCGATTACAGAGGGCAGAAATTATCGTCGAATCTTCGAATCTTGAACGGCTCTTGGATTTCACTCCTCCAGGTTCATGTCTAGGTCTACCTTCATGAAAAGAGGTGGGCTTTATTTATAGATTTTGGGAGTTATATTCTCTTTAAATAAGTCATGAATCTAGACCACTCCATTGGACGTCCCAGAGTAATTCGCTCTATCTTATGGCATCTTGTGGATATTTAAATGTCTTAATGATGTTGGAACTGAGTGTTGTAGGACTTTTTGGATTCTTCTCATTCAGATGTTCAATTTGACTATAAACTTCTCATATTTAGAAGCCATTCGACTCCCCAGGTAACCACCCAAAGCCTCCAAAAACGATTTAACACCTTGATTCAAGCGTGATTTGACTAAATTGAATCAATTTTGATGTCATTGTATTCATCTTATTGACCCACTCAGCTTGACTATAAATTTATTGAAATCTAAATTCGTAGAATTTTTAATTTAAATCAAAACAAATTTTAGCTCCAAAAATGTTGATATTTGTGCCAAATTCTTCTGGATTCATATCAAATGATAAATTTATTGATGATACATCAATATTAGTGATCTTCTATTTATGAAAATTAAAAAGAAAGAAGTAAATAAGATTATTTCTAAATAAATCTAAAAAAATAATTTAAATGTTAGTCTCGATGTGATGAGTCGTATCGGTTAGACGGCAAAGAGAAAAAGTAGATGGTGGCAAGCTCAAATAAATAAAATTATTTGACTGGATATGAATTAATTTTATAAATATATCATTTATATTTATGAGGATTTAATTTAAAATATTTATTTTTCTTCTCAGCGACAAATGAATAAAATAGATAGGCATGCTTGTGTAAAAGAAGGCGAGGGCTACACGAGAATACATACTTTGTAAATCTGTTCGGACGACTGTGAATGGGAAGGCCAGATCACCATAATTTTACTTAGATGTGAATTGGCATTACCATTCATCATTATCTGTACATATGAAGGTCCATTTTGTTCTAGAGAAGATGCACATGAGATATATAGCCAAATAAATATACACTATGAACGTTTCATATGCATTATTATATGAAGAATGATTTACGAGGACACTTACTGGATATGGTGGGGATAGTTACATTTTGATAGATGTCATGCATATATATATATATATATATATCAAAATATATTTTGAATATTTTTAAAAATAACAAACACGATCAAATATGTTTTAATTTTAAACAGAAATATTAAAAAAAATTGAATTGAAAAAAAAATACATCTTAAATGACCCCTTAAAGAAGAATAAAGAACTATTTAGAAGCCAGTTGGGATCATTTTTATTTTATGTTTCTTTTATAGTTATGTTTTAATTCGAAATAAAATATATTTCTCATGTTTCATTAAAATATGATTATTTATCAAAATACTCGAAACAAAAAAAAAATTATATTAAGTATTTTAAATATATATAAATTTATTTTTAGAAAAAAATTTAAAACATAAAAATCACATTATATAAATATGTTTTTTTAAAAAAAATTTAAAAAAATAAAAACAATATTTAAACTTGATCCCAAAGTTGTTTAGTAAATCATTCAAGCATATAAAATCATACTCTCCAATTTTGATGAATCATAATAATTTTTTTTTTGAAACAAAAATATTTGATTTTTAAATTTTAAAAATCCTACTACTAAATATTTATTTTAGTAGCAAAAAAAAAAAAAATCCATGCAATTAAAGATCCATGCAATTAAAGATCATAAATCCATGCAATTAAAGATCATAATTTTAAAACAAAATACAATCAAAGACTGAAATGTGTGACTAAAATATAAATTTAGCCAAAATTATTTAAAGATTTATATATACCAACATCTACTTGTAGAAATTATTTAAAGCTGAGATAAGGCTCTCACCATTACTTCCCGTGGCCTACACATGGCTTCCAGCGGGTTAGCCTTCGGCATTGTTATGCCTGCCCCTTCCTTCAAATCCAAGCCTTCAGGCCCTGTTTCTCTCCACTCAAAACACTGAATCAGCGTCCCCAAAACCAAACCCACTTCCCTCATAGCAAGACCTTCTCCTGGGCATTTCCTTCTCCCCATCCCAAAAGGCAATATCTTCCCCCTTTCAGCCTCTGCATCTTGGAATCTCTCAGGAATAAATTCGGTGGGTTTGGACCAAATGTTTGGATCTCTTTGAATCACATAAGCGTTCACCATAAGCATGGTTCCGGGGGATATATCATAGCCTCCAACCTTGCATGGTTCCAAACTGTGATGAGGTAAGAGGAGAGGGACGACGGGATACAACCGAAGCGTCTCGTTGATGATGCAATGAAGGTAGGAGAGGTTTGTGAGATCGGATTCGTCGAATAATCGGTCGTGCCCGACTTTCTCATCGATTTCTTTTCTCGCTAATGCTAGCTTCTCCGGATTGTTTAGCAAGAGAGACAGTGCCCATTCGATGGTGTTTGATGAGGTGTCTGTGCCGGCCGCCAACAAAGTCTGCAAGAGTTGGATCAATGAAGGGAGTTTTGGTTGGACAGATCATAGTCATGAACAAGAAGCCATATGTATATTAATTTAGTCTTATTTAAATAATGACAGTAATGTTAGTTTTAATGTATATGCAAATGCATTTAATTATATGAAAACATATAATTAAAAGTAGTTTAATTTAAAAATAGATTAATTCGATTTAATTAATTTGAATCTAACTTCATTTGTCATTATTCCTTGCTGAATCCTCGTATGTTTCGAAACTCATACCATCGGCGATTAGGAAAATTTCATATTTTGTCTCTACCAACCTACATCAAAGTATGAAAATTTATGTATTCAATAAAAACCACTATTTTTGAAATTCATACTTTAGCAACCACATCAGTTTGTGGTAACCAGTTAATATGAATTCTCCTTTATGAAAAAAAAAGGACCTTGTTTTTGTCTCTCAAAACAACACATTATAAAAGAAAATTCTCCCATTAGAATGGATGTGATGGGCTCAACTTCAGGAAGTACCACCTACAAAGGAACTCTCACCTACATCTCGGTTGCTACTTGTGCCACAACCAGAAAGAAGGAAAAAAAAGGTAAAGCTTCATCGTGGAAGATGATCTACACAGAGGGTTTCCTAACATTGAAACCAATTATGTTGTGAGAATTGTAAATGTGCATAACTGTTGTAGGATTGGATGGTTGCAGAAAAAAATAGAAAATTAGGTTTGATCGAGTCAAACCTTTAGGTGATCTGATTTAAAGCTATTAAAGCCACTAAGTGAAACAAAAAAAAGACATAAAGCTATAAAATTCATACATTAGCTGGCAAAAATAAAGGCTAATTGACATACCTAAACTTTACATTTAACATTCATACCATCCAAGTTTTTCATAGCACGTCAAAATATCACCATTTTAATTAAAATAAATGTGAAATATATATTTTTATGCATAAGAAAGGAGACATGTATGTAACAAAGGAAGTTTAGGTGTTAGAAGTGGAAATGCATAGGAATTGAGTGGTATGTATGTGGATCTTTCATAAGACTTGTCCTGAATATAGTAGTGTATAATGGAAAATATTGGAGTCATCACTGCGCCAAATGAACGATCATTGTTGGAGTCACACCAGCAGCTCGCTCTTCCTCTGGCCGGCTACTCTTGACCTAAGAACCAGACATCCTTGGTCGGCCATCCAAGACCAACCGGCCTGCCACTCTTGGGCCGACAGCCCATCCCCAAGAGGCCGACCTCATTGAGCCAGCTGCCATAATCCAGCCAGCCAGCCAGCCACCCCCTTTCAATGACTGGCTGCATCCCATGGCTGAAACCAACAAGCCTCTCAGATCGAGAAGTTCTAGAACGACAGATTTGGGCGGGGTAAGGCAAAAATAACATGTATTGGCCTCCTTAAAGCAAAAGGAAGGGTGTAATATTGTATTTCCCTCTTTTTATGTGTTATAAATAGAAGAACCATGACATGGGTTAAAGGGTGCTTGAGCTCTTCTCTCTCAACCCCCATGTATTGAGAACTCTCTCACCTTCCCCTCTCTTATAACAATTATTTTTAGGGAATAAAAAAGCCAAAAAGCTCGAGAACACCTCACTCGCTCTGAGGGAGCAAGTCCTCCTCTCCCTCTTTTCTTTCTCTCTTTCTTTCCCTCGATCTCTACGCCCTGTGCCTTGGGCATGATCGGTAATATTTGGATATAACAACCTAACGAATGCAGTGAACGTAGATCATGCCACCAACAAAAAGCAGAAGCATGTCAAGGAAGATAAAATCTTAAACAGAGAAACAAAAAAGGAAAAAGAAGAAAGAGGAATAAAGAAAAAACCTTCCTCACACTCTAAGCATCCAAAACCCGTCTCCAAACTCAACATGGAAAAAGCTATAGAGGTGGTTCCCTGCTCAATAAGGACAAACTCCGCAAAGGGCACGTTGAAAATCACCTCAATAGCAAGTCTCGACATTTACCCCCTCGAAGGCAGTGGCCAGATACACAAAAGACCTGGCAAAAGATGCGGTGACGATCCAACCCAGCAAATGAGACGGGCAAGGAGTGGGACTTAAGTTGGGTATTAAGATATCTAAAATTCTAAAAAACCAATTGAGAATCTTCTAAAAAATCGGGCCTAAAATCAACACATCAAAAGTTAACACAAAGGAGACGAAAGGACTGTTAACAAACTAAGTACTAAAATTATATTTTTTGTATTTTTGAGTCATTCATGTTTATTAGAGCCACGCTTCCAAAAAGTAAAAGAATTGAGGACTTTAAGTATAACAAAAAACACCAATCCTCGTCAGGCCAAACGAACTACTGCCAGATTCACGATAGCAGCCTGCTCTTCCTGAGAAAACATCAGTCCTCGTCGGCCATCCAAGACCAACTGGTCGGCCATCCTTAGGCCAACCACCTATCATAAACCAGTCGGCCTCAGAGAGTCGGCCGCTAGAACCCAGCCGGCCGGCCACCCCCTTTCACTGACCGGTCAGCCAACCCATGGTTGGCCACTGGAATCGATGAGCCCCGCCAACCAGGAAGTTTGAGAACTACATATCTAAGTGGGGAAACAACTAAAATAATATGTATTGTCCTCCTTAAAACAAGGGCAAGGGTGTAATATTATATTTTCCCCTTTTTATCTTCTATAGATAGAGGATCCATGGCATGTGTTAAAGGGTCCTTGGGCTCTTCTCTTTCAACCCCCATATACGGAGAACTTTCCCCCATTCCTTTCTCCTGTAAACTTTATTTTTCATTAAATAAAAGGAATCAAAGAGCCCGAGATCATCTCATTTGCCCCGAAGAGACAAGTCGTCATCTCCTCGTTTCTCCCTCTCTTTCTTTCTCTCTTTATTTCTCTATCCCTATGTTCTATGTCTTGGGCATGATCAAACAAATTTGGATTCAACAAGTAGAAATTGTTGGAGAGTGGAGATCTCAGATCGAAGAACTCACCATAAAAAGTGACTTGATAAAAGTATCACTGTACTGCTCTGGCTGATCCTTCTGCATCGACAAAATCGCATCTAGCATCGTTTTACTAGAACTCCTCCCTTTCTCCTCCTCCACCCTTCTCTTCATTCTCCGCTCATCCACAACACCTTGCAAGAACCCATCCATGCACGAGTGTATTCGAGCCAGCTTTCTTTCCAAACTCAGCCTTAAAATCCACCCAATCGTAGTCGGAAGAAAATCCCCAACATTAGAAGCGCCAGCAACAGAGAACATCTCTTCCACCATCTTCTTGAATCGCCGCGCATCCTCATCCCCATCCTCCTCTCCGTAGCAACGCTTCCCCATCATCACTCTCATCATCACGTTCATGGCCAGGCCTTACAACAGCGACCTGAGCTCCACCCTAGTGAAACTCCCAACCCTAGTTTTCTGAAACAGTCGTCGAGCCAATTCACGGGCTTCTTCAGCTCGGACGTCCGCGAAGAAGGCAAGGCGGTGGCCCGACAGTGCTTCGATCGTGGCGATGCGGCGCATCTCACGCCATCTGGGTCCGTAGTTAGATGTCGCAATGTTGGTGTAGTTGTAGGAGCTGAGCTTGAAGGAGGGAAACCTAGGGCGATTAGCGAAGATGATGTCGTTGGTGGTGAGGCACTCTTCGGCGAGAGCGGCGGAGGAGACAACAAGGACAGGGTGGATGCCGAAGCGAAGGAGGAGGATGGGGCCATGTTGGGCAGAGAGCCGGGACAAGTATTGATGAAGAGGTTTCTTCAGGTGGTGGAGATGGCCGATGATGGGAAGTGAAGGTGGGCTTGGCAGGAGCTTCTTTGTTCTGCTGCCTTTACTTGAGATCAGGAAGTGTTGGATTAGTTGGATGAGGAAGAGGAATAGAACTCCGCATGTGAAGATTGAGAGGATGTCCATTGCATTTGCGACAGGGTGGGGTATGTAATTGCGCAGCTTAGTTTGACAATAGATAGACTCAAAAACTGAAAAGTCAACGAATATCTTACAAGAAGAGAATGGATGAGCAGGCTGCACTATGAAAGATAAATAAATTCGTTAACATTTAATTTAATTTATGGGGCATTTACTGACATACCACCTCATTCATATGTGGAAGTCGTGTGTATAATCCAAGACCAATCGGCTGCCACTCTCAAAATAGACAACTTCCTAGAGAGAGAGAAGGCCGATCAATACCCAGAAAAATAACTGATCCAAACCAGCTAAGTCAACCAACCTAAAGACCCGTCGGTTGGAAGGCTGATAGATGTATGGAAGAGTGTTAATATCAGTTATTGATACGAAAATGTATCAATGTCAATTATGGATGTGAAAGGATGTCAATATCAGTTATTGATACAAAAATGTGTCAATGTTAGTTATGAATGTGAAAGAACGTCAATATTAGTAATACATACATAAATGCGTTAGTATCAGTTATAATTATGAAAAGATGTCAGAGAAGGCAAGATTGATCTATAATGCCCGTAATAAAGAAATGATAAATTTATAAAAATAATAACGACCTAGAACACCCTCGTTGAAGTGGGGGCAAGCATGTAATTTTATCAAGGATCCTCTAAAATGATAAATATGGACCATTTTATGAATAAAAGGATGGACCTTTTCTCCGGACTGTTCACCTTATACTCTATACTCAGTCTTTAAGCTTTGCTTTTCATATTTATACCACTCAAATCATTCATATCCCATCAAATATCTCAATTTTAACTATTAAAAAGTAAAAATTGAAATTTAGATGTTATAAATACATAGAAATTGAGTGGTATAATTTATTTTTTTTATTTCATTTAAATTTTGATTGAAATTAGATGAAGGCAGATTTGCTTATAAAAATTGTCGATAAAAATATACATTATGATTAAGTATTGTATTTTGAATGTTTCAGAGATTATTTAATTCAGTGTAAATTAGATAATTGAGATTTTTCCTCTATTTTATTATTATTATTATTATTTGAAATCAATTGAATTCAGAATGAAACCCAGCCAAAGAATCAGCACTCCGACTGGTGGT